CTATGATATAATAATGGACTAACTCAAGTTTCCCTCCCGCGAAGATTCGAAATGCTAAATTTGTGCATGATATCCGTACATAAAACCGATATAAGTATTATTGAGGTTTCGAGATAATATTAATATCACCATTTCACGTCCTACAATTCAATCGTTTCGCCTTTCAAGAAGATTTTAATTTCGTACCAATACTCATAAATATATACGATATACCTACCAATATATTATATATTTTATAATTATACGCATTGGTATATTCGTGTAATTACAGAACTTATTCAAATTGTATATATACCTAAATATATATAATATAATTTATAAATATAAGCACGCAGTGTATTATTCGGCTTTAAGTAAAGTTTGATCCGGACGATTTTTCTCAATTTCTATTTGTTTTAATATTTGTCGACGTACCCATTCTGTCGTTAATTAAGACCACACCTACTCATTTTTTTTTATTTTTTTTTATCGTTATGGCTATATTTTAACTATACATAGAATGACATTCAACGATTGAAAACTCATTCTTACAGTGATATATTTTTTAATTTTTTTTATATCAAAACGTAATGTGAATACATGTAGATAAGTATAATATAGTATGATGTGAATAATGGACGGGCGTATCCTAAATTATTCAACTGTACCGTCTGTACCTACTGTTGTATATAAGTATATACAGGTATATACATAACAAAAAAAAAACAAAAACAATTATTATAAATATTTTAATATCCGATCACAAATTAAATGACCACATACGAAGCAGACGTCAAGGATGCCGAGTCAACAAAATATGAATGCCTACTTAAGGCGACAGCAACTACGGAAGCAGGGCTGTTCATTCATCAGCACCTTGCCGATGTGAACGACAACTCTTTCCTTTTCTTTTAATTATTTGTTTTTGGAAACATCGATTTTATTAGATTTCAAATTTATGTTTTTTAAAAAAAGATGTTACTTGTTTAGTTACTCCTGTTCCAGAGTGATCTAATTTACATTCTCACGTTTGAGTACAGGACATTCATTGGTGGGTCCACCACTATCGAAACGGGTAACAAGACATTGTAGTATTTACTTTCTCCTCCAGTACTCGTTATCGTGGTCAGTCGAGAAAGAGTAATACCTTGCCTATGTTGAAGATATCTCATCCTCGAACATCCAGTACTCGTTATCGTGGTCAGTTGTTCGAGAGTAAAGTAGCCTTAGAATTGTATAGTGTAAATCCTGTTGTATCTTATTTAATTATCGTTTTGTGCAGTACTCGTTATCGTGGTCACCAAAAGGAGAACTTAACTAAGCTTATGCTGCAGGTATCGAAACTTACTTCGATTAGCTTTTTAAATAATTTAAATAGTTTTTACTAGTTTAATTTTCTTTCGTCTTTCAAAATCGTATTTAGTTTATTTCGAAAAAAAATATATTTTAATTTTATTTCTTAAATTATTCAAAAATTAAGTAGTTAGTGCTAAGTATAAATATATTAATACGAATCAACATTCTTCATTAAAAATAATTCTTTAAACAAAACTCATAAATCAATTAAATCTTAATGTGATATGAATGACAATGAACTTATAGCTTTAGGTTCAAAAATTACTAAATTAACAGATATTTATTCACATAAAAAATCAGAACTTATTGACCTATGCAAATCTAAACAATTAAAAAGCGTAGGAACCGTAGATAATCTAAGAAGCTAGGTTTAAAATATTACAAGGGATCATAGGGATCTAATTTTGTCCAACTTTAAAAATAGGATAGTTTTTATCTCGATTTAGACCCTCAATATTTTAAAAAGAAAAGTTATAGAATTTCTTGAGAGATCTACATTCCACGATGTTTGAGAATTAAGAGTGACGTATTATACAATGTCCGCTAATGCTTCGTTCTAGAAATTTCGATCTTCAAAGGTATACAAGGAGACGTTTGGCCCACGACGTAATCATCAGTATTATTTAGTTTGCGACCTTATGCAAATTAAGTGAAGTGTGAAATGTAAGCTTGTAGTGAAGTTAAGTGAATTGAAGACCTTGAACCATTTAACTAAGTTAAATATACCGTTTTATTCTTATCTATAAAATTGTATTATTCATGATTATAATATAAAATAAGTAGGTATATTAAAATATATTCTTAATTTCGTGTCCATCGGTACAACTGTACAAGTATAAAAAAATATGAATAAAAAGGTTATATTGAAATTACAAATTTTTGTTCATTTTTTTCATTACTTGTTGTTACATGTTATTGTTTGTTGACATTTGCTGGAACATATAAATTTTTTTTTTAAAAGAAAAACACAGAAATCTTTGACCTTGCCGCTTTCCCGCTTGACAGTGACATTTAACAAACATACTTCCATTGGGCAACCAAATAGTATTAAGTGTTCCAAAATTAGACCGACTACATCTCGATGGTCAAAATATAAATGGGTTCGTTATAGACATTCGAAAAGGCGTTTACCAAGTTTGCACAATAATAAAAAAATTGTGTTCCAGAATATAGAACTTCAACTAGTTTCAAATAACGGTTTCGATGACAGCAAAGTACAAAAAGACAAATTTGTATCCTTACGTAAAGCAGTAATAAGCTTATCCTCAACGGACAAGGTTTTGTTAAATGTCACTGCCAAGCAGTTGAGCTTCAATATCAAACCGGTCATGTTGTTTTGTTTTTAAAAAAATGTATATGTTCCATCAAATGTCACCAAACAATAACTAAATGTCTAGGCGAATATTGAAATTGTATAAAAATTTAACTCTTTGACTATTTTCAAAGGTCTTTATTAAAATGCCTGGTTTAATAAAATATACCTACGGCATATATATTTACGGAAAGTTACTAAACTATACTAAATCATCATACGATAAGTACTTTTTCCTCGATAAACATGCATTGATCAGTATGGATCTTATATATAGTAATGCCAGGCTGGGCAAGTTAATGAAATTTTTTTAACTCAGTTAAGTTAAGTTAATTTTTTTTTTTCAATTAAGTTAAAAGTTAAGTAATAGACTTTTTTAATAAATCATTAAGTTTAAAATTAAGTTAACAAATATTGTTAACTTAACTTAACTCTCAATTAATAAGTTAAGTTAATATAAAAAAAAAAAATTCATCGAAAAGTATTAAGATCACTTATAAGTGATAATCACGTGGAATATAGTAATATACTAATATAGCATATACTTATGATAAAAGATGCATAATAATATATTATTATGTATATAATTTAAAACCTGTTATAGGGCTGTACACCTGTGTAATTTTATAACTATATTTCACGTTAACATTTACAATTCAAAAATAAATAACTCAAATGTTTAAAAATTAGGTATAGAAAAAATTACTACTCGTATATTTTTACTTATTAACTTATAAATACTACATTTATATAATATATTATATATGTGTATATATAAATAAAAAAAAATCATTTGTATTTTACAGCAAGGTTATTCAAAATATTTATTGAATTTTAATAATAGTGTCATTCAAACATTGTGATCGGCCATTGATCCCCTCCTTTTGTTTAATAACTGTCCTCCAGCACTAAAGAGCCGCTCAACATGAGCAGATGAAGGAACGGCAGTGTTATACTTGATGTATAATTCTTTAAGGGGATTTGGTAACTCTGAAGGAGATTAATATTTGTATTTGATAAATAATTGTCAACAAGAAGTTTATAATCAATATTTGAAATTATTGAATTATTTTCCTCAAAATTAAAAAAATCATCCTCAATGTCACTATTATGATGTTCAGTAGATGTTGTGTTAGATGTAGATTGTAGATCTTGGGAATTTGTTAATGATGCGTTATCTATTATGGTTTCCAATGTTTCTATAAGTGAATTTTTTATGTTGTTTCGATCATCTTCTACAGCCCAATTGAGTTTGAATTTTGGTATCAAACAGGCAGCCACTTGGCACATATTTGACTCCATATATCTTGTGAATCTAATAATAAAAAAATGTTCATAACATTATTTGAGTTTAATAAGGAATAAAACAAATATAACGATTATGATATTTATAATCTTTACAGTTAATTTGTTTTTTATTTTTATGATGTTTAACATATTCAGTATTTTAGTTTTATATAAAATTTATATTTTATACAACAATACATAATTTATTTTTGATCAGATGATTTTTTTTTTTTTAATAATTAAGTTATACATATTTTTATTCAGATATTAAATAACTAATTTAAGATTTAATTTCTTAAAAATCATTGGGCCAAAATACAAATTATATTTTTATTAGAAATAATTCATCAATTCAATCAGAAATATTACCTTTTATTTAATCCTCTTTTAAGTGCAATAATTAATGGTCTACAGAAAACTATATTCTTCATATCGTTTAATGATTTATGTACTGCATTAATAGTAGGGAGCAAATATCCCAAAGATACGTTTTTATCACCCTGCAATATATAAACGAATACGTCTACCTATGTAATATTTTATATCGGTTATTTGTCGAGGGGGGTTAACGTGTAACGACTAAATTATATATATATATTTATATTATACATTATTATATTTCCAGACAGTATTTTGTAATGATAATATTATTATATTATTATAATAACGTTATACTAATATTTTTATAATGTTATTAAACAAAAAATGTCTGTCTGGGTTATACTCAGGGGCGTCATTTGGGGGGGTGCAGGGTGTACATTTGCACCAACATTTTTTTATAAACGCCTTCTTTGGCCTGCCAACAATAAATATAAGCGCCGATATACCTAAGTGTTATATATTAATTATATATTATATATATTTTATATTTTTTCAGTATTTAAAAAAAATAATAAATATTATATAGGTACTAATGGGTTTTATTTCCAAAAATGATCGATGTGGTTGTGTGGTTATATCATAGACATAATATAAAATAATAATAATATAATTAATAATTATGTCTATGGGTTATATATATTTTTTATTCTCTACCATGATATTATTACCATCGAATAGGTATATAAATATCTGTGGGTATAATATTATGCTGATATAGATTTATTATTACGCTCCGGTATCTCCCTACTCGTTATAATAAGAAAACAACATGATATATATAATTCCCATCAAAAGAGAAAAAATTGTCTAAAAATAGCAACCACAGAATATTATTTGTTTACATTTTTACCCTTGTCACTTACTTTCTACGGTAGAAATGATATTCTATGGTAGAAATTCTACCACCAATATTAAATATCCTGTTTGAAATTTTTGATGTATCCAGCAATAATTTTTTTAATCCTAACTGCCCTTTTTTTACAAACCATTATAGTTATTTTCAATTTAATGAGTCTAAAATGTTATCTGAATTTCCTTCTGCAAAATCCTTGATTCTCAAAAAAAATATAACCAATTTGAATTTAAATGACATTATTTCCTGTTTAAAAGATTTTCCAGTTGCTTTTTCAGAAACATTAAAAATAATATCTTTAGTTTTATCTTTACCTATAAGTACGGCTTCTAATGAAAGATTTTTTTCCTCACTTAAAAGAGTCAAGTCTTATATTAGATCAACTATGGGAGATGAGCGCTTAAGTGACTTATTAGTGGTTAGTGTGGAGAAAGAAGAGGCCAATAAAATCAATCTAAATGATGCTGTAGATTCATTTTCAAAGTGAAAATCGAAGATATCCACTAATGTAATATAATATGTAATGTATTAAGTAATTATTGCTTTATGATAATAAATGTTTTTATTTGTCTAACTAAATGATTTGTTATTAAATTGAATTTAAGTTGTTAAATTAAAATTAGATGTGGAAAAATTTAGAAATATGAATTAAGTATATTGTGCCATTTTGAACAAGGTAACCCATAAAACAAATTTCAGGTTTAGGGGTTTAGCTATATTATTTATTTTGAGTGTGCATGGAGAAAAAATGTATAGGTTAGGTTCGATTAAATACTATTAAGGTGCTTTATATCCATAAATTTGCTTACCAAATACAACTGGCATCCACAAAATAATATAAACTTATTAAAAGTACCTACACATAGTTCTTCAAAAATAGTAATAATATTGTGAAGTTTTCATATTAATATAAGTGACGTATTAAATACATTTTACAAATATTCTACAGTTTTTTTCCCCACTAGACCCCCCCCCCCACTAAAGAAAAAAAAAGTTTTCTATGTGGCCTGGTAACAATTTGAATGGCCTGCAAAAATTTTCGCACCAACAAAAAAAAAGTTGAAATGACGCCCCTGGTTATACTTATAATTTAGGTTGAGGTTCGACTGGGTGATATAGTGTAATGTATAGTTATAATATTATAACCAGGTGCCTATATCATACTCGTTTATCAGTTTCCTTCCACCGGATAAAATACGAATATTATGCTACGTACTTTCCTGTGTTAATTTTGTGTGTCTATAAAATACCACGGTACTATATAATTATTATTATTATTACTATTATTATTATTATTATTACTATTATTAGTATTATTATTATTATTATATAATCTAGTAATCGACGTAACGCGGCAGTTGTCTGCGGATCAGATACTTTCGTAGTTTATGTCACGCCGACATGAGATTTTTGAGATAAATCTCGACGGATTTCGACATTTAGTGGTTAAGTTAGGTTAGGGTATGTACCCAACTTATAGTGACTATATATTTGATCAAGAAATACTTTTCGTTTTTAATAATACGATTATCTAGATGAATTTTGTAAGTATACGTTTTTGGTGAATTATTGAAAAAATAAAACGCGTCAATTATATAGATTTTGAAAATACTAAATATTCTTGTTATATTCAACTGTCAATACCTATTTTTACTGGTGTTTCAAACCTAAAGGGATCGAGGTGAATTTAATTACGGACGAAAAACGGTCTGTGTAAAGTTTCGAAATCCTTATACGCCGGACCTCTCGAACATGTACTTACCGTATATTACGTGTACTCACGCGTGTACGAGTGGGCGTGTGTGTGCGAGTGTGTGCGCAAAGTCACAAAACGTAGACGATTTCCTCGCGAACCATTTAGCATTAATAGCGTCTCGCAAAGTAAGTTTGACTGTGCGCCTTAGTTATAATAATTTAAAGGAATAATAAAACTCCACTAATTTCGCGTATATACCTTCACACTCGCTCACATAGTAGGTATGTATCTAGACACGCGGTAGCGTGTCAAGCCAAGTTCTAGCTAACAGAACTGGCGAGCAGCACCGTGTGTAATATTTTTACCATTTGGAGCCACTTTTGACCCCCTCATAACTCAAAAACTATTCCACATAAACTTGTCAAATTTGGCTCATATATTGAGACTAACGAGATACATATGTGCTCTAAATTTCATAAACATACTTCAAACCATTATTTAGATATTAACGTCCGAAAATCGTCATTTTTATCACTGACTTACCTATAGATCAAAATTCTAACCCAGTTCCAGATGACCTAGAAAGTTCAAATTTGGCATACAGATAGGTAGTTAGGTAAATACAAGGGGAAAAATCAGAAACTTGAAAATTTTTAATTTAAAATTTTTTAATTTTAATTTTTAATTTTAAATTTTTTAATCAATTGATTTTATTATAATTTTGCAATTATTTTATCTATTATGTTTAACTTTTCAATTTATTAATGAATTGCCTCTAATTTAATGTAATGTTGACTTAAATAACCTTTCCCGTATCGCCGCTCCAAAAATACGACTAGCCGAATATGTGTCGATATTGTCGACCCGCGCGCAGCAACATACTTTTTTTTCTATCTATGTATGTAATTAATATTATTTTTTTTAAATATTACAATTAAATAATTATTCTTACAAATTATGAATTATCCACCCAACAGTAGAAACTACAGTCAATAAAATTATGATAATTAAAAATATACTCAAAAAGAGTTAAAATAATTGTATATTAATTTAATTTTACATATATTTTATACTCTGTATATACAACGGAAAATATTTTATAATAAATATTATTATTAATATTAGTAACTGAATTATATTATATAGTAATAAACTTTATTTATAGAATACGTCATGGCTAGGTTAGGTTAAGTTATAATAATTTACATACAAAAAGTAATGATATCCCACCAAAAACATATATGTAAAATGAGAGCCAAGTTCAATACTATAATATATGCCTTGGTTGTTGACTTCAACGACAAAAGAAGTGAGATCTAAATGGGTGCCAAGTTAGGATAATATATTGAAGCCTAAGGTCTGACTTGGCTACGAATTATATATTATAGCATTTGCAAGTTGTAAAGCTTTGAGTTCTTATTTTATTCTTAGGAAAATCATCTTCACTCTTCCATTACTGTTTTAGTAGGTACCTACTTATAATAATAATTCGTATATGAAAAGTAGCCAAGTTACACCTTAGGCTTCAATATATTACCTATCCTAACTTGGCACCCATTTAGATCTCACTTCTTTTGTCGTTGAAGTCAACAACCAAGGCATATATTATAGTATTGAACTTGGCTCTCATTTTACATATATGTTTTTGATGGGATAATATTAATATATTATACATTCGAATTCATTCGATTAGCGTGTATAATTAATAACTCGGTCGGATGAATTTACTACTCTCATAACTCATTCTACTGTGTATTATAATGCATAATATGTGTGTGCCTGTATTCTCGACAAGGCCGCGTACCTTCGTGTCGAGCTTACTGACGGTACGTATATTTCATGAAATACGCAAAATAAAATTATAAAAATAAAATAAAATTTTAAAATTTTAAAATGTTCCTTCACAATAAATTTATAACTTTATATTTAAAAAAAAAATAACATTTTTCCCCCAAAACAATTTTTGTACGAGGCGGGAACCCTCTTCTACGCCGACCGTCCGACCGACAACACCATTCTTGTTCCCCAACCGTCGAAACGACTACTCGCCGTTACGTTTTCGCCAAAACTACCATCGAATAATACTGTATGATTATATTACCATAATTAACATATTATTCTTGTTACCACGAATAAACCAGAATAGATCCAAATGCTGTTTCAGAAGAATTTATTAATCCTAAATGTTATATTTTATATTCAGAATTTAATCACTTGCCTAGACCAATTGGAAAAATGTAAACATCGGAAAGCAACGGAATTTCGCACATAAGACTTCTTATTTCTTCAGAAAATTGTTGTACGCATAATAATTTGGATAAAGACATGTTAAAAAGATTTGTACATGAATATGGTTCTTGGTTCTTATTATGGTGAAGGATATGTTGGATATTATAATGTTCATGGTCTGATACATCCAGCTGATTTTGTTTTAATACATGGTTATTTAGATTTATTTAGTGCATTCAAGTATGAAAACTATTTACAGTTGTTAAAAAAAG